AAATCATATATGTGAATAATAATCAAACTTGTTATTTAACTTGTTATTTAATATCTGTGAAATACCAAACCAAAAATATTGAACTCACACTCTTTTTCCAGGTGTGTACATTAACAAGGGAGGATAACCGAGAGATTGGAAAGATACCAGAGGATGAGCAGCTCCATGTACTGCCTCTTTATAAGGCTTCCAGCACTGATGAATTTGGCAGTGAGGAGGGTCAGCAGGAGAAAATTAAGTCAGGTGCCATCCAAGTCCTCAGTGCCTTCCGCCGTCAGGTGCGCATGCTTGCAGAACCTGCCAAGTCTTGTCGGCAAAAAAAGCTTGACGCTAAGAAGGCAGCTGCCAACAAGAATGCCATGCTGGAAAGCGCTAATGATAAGGCAGAGAAGGCCCTCCTGGCCAAGTCAAAAGCTGGCACTTATGAGAATACTGCTCAGAGCACTCCTATGGCAGGTAAGGTAACATTTATACTGACAAATGTCATTAATTGTATCTTAAATATTGCATGTCTTTGTAGGGACAAGTTCCTAACATATTAAATTAACACTGAAAAGCCAAACAGCAATAAATTGACAAAAAGTGTAATTTCTTCACTGCTTAGGCCTTTATCTGTTGGGCTTTTTGTTTTCTAGGACTTATTCATGGTGCTTTGGGAGCAACCCTACAGTCAGGTCAGCCAACACACCCCCTTGGGGCCCATCATCAGCAACTACAGCAACAACAGCACCAGAGCATTCTTCCCCCATATCCTGGCTCAACAAATGCGGCTGGCTACCCCAGGTTCCACAACCATCCTGGGTCTTTTCCAAGCACTTACAAGCCCGGCAGCATGTATGCACCTCAGCCACCAACACCAGCCAGCCCTTACCCCTCCCCGCTTCATGTACCAAACTCTTACATTAATGGATCAAATCGTCCATACCCTGGTTATCAATGTAACGGAGGTATGCCCCTTGACAACTACCATCCATACTATGCTTCAAACCCAAAGCACTTGGAAATGTATCGACAACAGCGGCCAGCGCTTTACTCAGAGCAGCAGTACGGCTTACATCAACGCTATGGAGTCAATTATCCACCAAGGTATGGTGAGCCAGGTATACAGGTCAATGGTTACAATGCTTGCAGTATGAGGCCAGTTCATCCCATGAGACCTTATTCCCCTTATGGTCCAAATGGAGCCTCAGATCCGCAATTCATGGACCCCCTTTCAAGGGCACCCTCAGCCCATGGAGGTCTAGAATATACAGCTGCTGTGAGCAAAGGCAATCAGCTTGGAGGATACCCAAACCCATACCTATCTCGGGGCCCTCAAATCTTACCCCCAGGCCAAGATCCTTTCCATATGCAAATAAAGACCGAGATGGGCATGCCTCGCCCACAGATGCTTTCTGCTCAGTTAAGTGGTGGGTGTTTAAACCCTGAAACACAGTCAGGGTTAGGTCTGCCTAATGGGAGCCTCATGGGGCCCAGTATTAAGCAGGAGCCTGGAACACCACAGACACCCACAACCCCACAAAAGCCTGAGATGTGGTCAGACAATGAGCACAACTTTTTGGACCCTGACATTGGTGGTGTGGCAGTGGCACCGAGCCACGGCTCAGTCCTCATTGAGTGTGCAAAACGGGAGCTTCACGCCACAACACCCCTTAAAAACCCAGACCGCAACCACCCAACACGCATCTCCTTGGTCTTTTACCAGCACAAAAATATGAACGAAGCCAAGCATGGCTTGGCGCTGTGGGAAGCCAAAATGGCAGAGAAGGCTAGAGAGAAGGAGGAGGATGCAGAGAGGAATGGCGGTGAGGGGACACCTAGCAAGGGCAAGAAGGGGGTGAAGCGTGAGCATTCAGACTCATCAGAAACCACCGGGGAGCCTCCTTACAAGCGTTTTATCCAGGCACTAATGGAGGGGTCCTTGTCGTGCACAACAAACACATATGTCAGTACATCTCCATATGCTTTCACCAAGGTCACGGGGCCTTACAGTCAATTTGTGTAGAAAACATTCATGAAGAAGACAATTAAAGGTGCTTTATTTATGACAAAGATCACAAGCACCACTGACCTCATCTAAACACTCCTTCCTATCCATAAGGTTAGCAACAGTGTTGCATAGAAAAAGGAAACTGTGATCAGATGAGATGTAAATCACCTTTCACATCAGGTTTTTCACCTCTTTAACAATCAAGCTTTACTAGTTGACCCTACTAAGGATGTATTTATTTTTGTTTAGCAACTCTGGCAAGATACACACTGTCAAGATCTCTGGTGCTTTCAGTCTGATACATAAGGACCTATTTTTAATGGAAACAAAGTTTCATTTTTGGTGGCTTTATTTTTCTTACAAAATTTTGGAGATGTCATCTTGGCATAAAACACTGACTTTGTAAATGGCAACATTCACGGTGCTACAGTGTGTGCTTATACAATTTGTTTTAATTAAAATGCCTTCACACTATAACCAGAACACACTCTACGAGTGACACTCAATGACTTATGTCAACAGGACACTGAGAATTTCATCCCACTGTCAAATGATCAGCATCATAATGATTTTTGGCAAGTCAGTGTTTCAGAGAGCACTTTTTGATAGTGAGAATTAACTGTTTTGGTGATACCTTTAAATCATAAAATCTGGTTACACAGCATTGCTACACTGAGTAATTCATTTTTAAGCATCACTAAAATTAAATTGATGAATTTCTAACAGAGGGTTGTATGAACAATCCATGGAACTGTTTTGAGTTCATGCAAAACAACTTTTTAAAACTGTCATTGTGTTGGTGCTTTCACTTTCCTACATGTATGTCATTTATACTGTAAATTGAGCCGTTCTAATGGTGCATTTTTAACATTTTGAGGAAAAGAAATCTACATGTTGGTGTTATTTTAGTTTATTCCAGGTTTACTTTGTCAGCGACTGTTTTTAATGTTCCTTACCTTAGGTTCATTGAACAAACCTGGACTGTGAATATTACATGTAGTTTTATGTCTGTGGTGCTTAGTAAATGTGCTTTTTATACACTGAGGAACATGAAACAGGGTAAGCTCAGCGCCAGTTTCAGAGGGCAGCTGGCTTGCTGTGGGGTCTTTAATTATTGCAATCTAACTGTAAGATAAACAGGTGAGATTTGTACAGTAAGTTAATTTCACTTTTTGGAATTGCTGTTATAGATTTTGTGTTGTAAAGAATGTTAACAGCCTATTTCATTGTATTTCTTTGGGTTTCAACTGATTTTATATCATGAGGTGCTATTCAACCTACTAGAAACATACAATGTGAGACTCTTTGGGCAGTGAGAAGGCTTTTTAAATAATGTACAGTACAAACCTGCCATATACCTCAAAACTAGTTTGGCAATAGGATTTATAACATATTTGTCTTTCTTCCGTTGTATATTACTTTCAAAATGTTAATAACAGTTCAACTTCAGGCCACCAAAAGGCATACAAGTTCATTTCTTACTTTTTTATCAATCTGGTAGAAAGTATTACTTGAACTTAAATTTTCAATGTTACTGTAAAATCAGGGACATTTTCAATGTCAATTTCAATTTTGTGTACATCTTCATCACCTGTATTCATCTTGTCCTTTTCTCATTCAGGTACTTGCCATTGCACCCTGAATCTAATTCTACACTTCAGACAGACAAAAATTATTTTGAGGAAAAAGACGCTTTCCTGCAATTTTTTTTACTTATATTTTAGCTAGCAGGATGGTGGTAACCTTTTAAAAGTAATTTGAACATATATGCACTGAGTTGACTAAAGGGAAAGTATGATATTGACTAAATAAAAAGCAATGTATTTGCTTTTGCTATGAGGCAAGACCAGGGCAGTGATTAACGTAGTTGCACATCTTTGTGCCTGTGTATAGTTAAATTTATTTATAACCACTAAGCAATTGTATAATGATTTCCTTTCCCTGTCTATTTGATTTAATTAAAGCGATATATAATGGAATGACTGTCTTGTTATAGTAACAACTTACCCCACTCTTCAACATATTCATTTTCTGAAAGCACTTCATTTCTTTTTCAGGAAAAAAATATGTAATAAAGAATTACAAAACGTTTTATTTAAACAGATTGTAAATGTGTTAAAAATAAATAAATTATGTCACATTGTACATACCAAGAACCTGTATTGCAGAAGTACAACTCATTCTTTGATTTTGATGTAGGTTCATCTTGTTCTGTCAAATTGACCCACAGCTCCTCTATCAGCAATCCTCCTCATATCTTTAAATATCCTTTTGGCTCTTTCAGGTTAAAAGAATGATCATGGTTAGATTATCCAGGAAGTCTTTGTAAATTTATGCTCACTGTCACAGCAATGTTTACAGTTATAGTATCCTGTTCTCTCAGACATTAGAAGTTCTAGTTTTCTTTAACTGTTCCAGTTTTGTAAAATAAATCTACAAAAAAAAAATGTTGAATTTCGTTGTACAGGACCCAGCTACAGTAGCAGGTTGTGGTTAAGAAAGCCGAGGTATCTAAGATATAGCGGGTTAAAAGCATAGCCATACTTGAAGATGCTTCAGAGTGTTTCTGAGTGAATCAACATTACTTGAATGACTTTTTGAGCTTAACTAGCTCAAAGGTTAAGCTAGCAGTTGATACACACTTGGTCTTTTTGCAGTTAGACACTAAAGGTTTAAGAAAAAAATGTGCAACTTTTTGCCTGTCATTTTATTTTTTAAGGCTTCCCTTGTTCTCCTGAAGTTTGGTATGCTACAAAAAATGGAATTAAGGATGGGTATTAATACTGTAAGTATTGTAATGTACTGAATGCAGTTTATTTGAAAGCTGTTTATTATATCATTCCTGATATTGCTGAGATGTGGGTGTTTTTTTTTAATAAAATTTATATTTATTTAAAGCAAATTGATTTGTTACTCCAAGTTAATACTACTTTCGAAATTATTTGCATTATTGTCAGCATGTTGAAGTTTTTAAATGTGGAACTACAGATGAAACTGGAAAGAGATCATGTCATGTTCAAGCCTTAAGTTTTTTAATTAACCCAGGTATTTTTTACTTGTTACATCCAAATTGCGTTGTGTTTGTGGTTACAATCACAAAACTGATTACAGTCTAAAAAACAACTTAGAGCATATTATCAGAACTTTCAGTCTTATACAAGGTTGGACACAAAAATACTGCAGTACACATACAACATCATTTACAATTCAATAGAAAGGAGACCAATTATTTTTGTGATTAACATCTACATTAGAATTGGTGTTGCCAACAATAAATCGATCTGGAGTCCAACATGGCACAGAAAAAGACATCTCAATTCTGGTTCTTTACTCAGCATTATGAAAGTACACTCTGGTTTTTCACCAGCTCATATTTTCAGTGTATGGCTATTAACGGTTTCTTTTTTTCAACAAATTATTGGATGGTAAACGTAGATGTCACTTTATACATCTGAGAATGAGTTCTTACCAAAAATAAATCCAGCATCATACAAAAGATGCAGTTTCTTCATGTGATGTTAAGGCATATTGTTGGTCTCCATATACTGTCAGACAAAATGCCACTTATCCACTGCGTAAGAGAAGATTAAGAACCACATTAAAATATAAGTGTTGGAACATATAACACCACAAAAAGGGCCAAATTTAGAGCAGATATTTCAATATTTACTTACCTTCTGGAGACACAGGATGTGCACTGCCAAATGCTGGGGCCTGCAGTGTAAAATGATGACAATTACCTAACTTAAACCTAATAGTTTTTGTCTGCTGTTGTTGTGTATTCTATCATCCTTGTGAAACAGCATAATGGAAGTTCTCACCGAATTGACCACGTCTCTGGCCTCATCTGCACTGCATTTGAAAGGGCTCTCGCAGCAGGAGATATTTTTGCTGAACAAAAAAGAAAAAAGTTAGTAGTGTTCATTATACTTACATAGCCAATTATACACATCACACACATGCACGCTGCAGGGGTTACACAATACCTCCACAAACTTACCATGCGATCTCCCCACTATTTGTCTGCTTCTGCACTAGTGCCCTCCAGTGCTCATGGGTGGACTTAATGATCTCAACAGCAAAGTCCTAGAAAAAGGACAAAAAAACAGAAAAAATATATCATTTGGATTCCTTTGGAACAATCCTTTTAAGACCATTCAGTGGACTGCAACCCCTAGTACACAAACTGTCATGTCTTATCTACTGTGTTACAAAGGTCTCAGTACCTTGTCTTTGAATTGTCCATTGAATCCAAACCGGTTCTCAGGCTTTCCATCAGGCACCTTATATTTCCTAAACCAGTCGACCGTGGCCTCTAAATGACCAGGCCTGCTCTTGCGGACGTCCTCTATGTCTGAGGAAAACACAAACACATTCATCAGAACAAGAACAATGGACCAATTTGCCCCTTAACTGACCTGGTATGAATTAGAAGGTTGTAGCTGATGTATACAATACAGGCTTAAAAATATAGAGAAACTGGTTTTGAAAATACTGTACGGAGTATTAAAAAAAAGCCTAACAAACCATGTTTGTTAGGCCTTAAGGATACACATGTTGTGTATTAAAACATTGAATGTAAACAAAACCATGTTGACAATACAAACTCAGTAGGGTATGTTCTAGTTTAGTGTTTTAACTACAGAGAGCTAGTCTGAAGTTACTGACTGAGTTGCCAAACTTCCCTGGAAGTCAGGATTTCTGAAATTATGCATTACCAAATTCAATCACTTGCAGGTACATTAATATCTATATCTATATCTATATATATATATATATTTATAGTATGTGGTCAAATGCAGATCTGACATGTTCTGGAGATTATTTGGGCAGCTAATCTAAAAAAAGCAATGCATTAATACCAATCATACTTGTTTCTTTACATTTGATTCCAGATAAAATCCTAATTTCCATGACTTATGATCATGAAAGGTTTCCTGGACTAGATTTCCTCAGGGTGGGGAATGGATCAGTGTAAGCCAGTTTCTAGATGATGATCGTTGATGTAATCTGTGGAAAACACGCACTATTCAGATTTTTGGCATCTGGATCCTCAGCATTGATGGCAATGACCTTCCAGTCCATTTCCCCTTCATCAATCATGGCCAAGATTCCAAGCACTTTCACTTGGATCACCTGACCTGGAAGGCACACCTGAAGAACAGAACAACAAATTGCAAATAAACCGGCAAATCAATCAACCACACAATTTATCTTTGAAAAGTGTATATAAAGTGAGCAAAAGACATCTTATATATATAGGATAATATATATATATATATATATATATCTTACCTGGGTGCCGATCTCACAGACGTCAATAGGATCATTATCACCGCAACACTCTGTCTCTTTGTCTGTGTGGTCTGGGTCCTCCCATGTCTTTTCCAAGCAACAGTTTAAAAATGGGAGAATCTTTCAAGCAAACATTTTTAACTGACAAAATAAATAAATATAAAATGCACTCATGGGCATAAAGACAGTGGGTGTTGAAATTGCAGTATTGTTATTTGTCAGCAACCGACTAGGACCAAAATCAATACAGCATGAAGATGGTGAACGTTTCATGAAACACTTTTATTGACTTGAATTTAGTTCTCATGCAACCCAGACCCTGCAAAGTGTGCATTGTCCTCACCTGTGGGAGTGCCCCATAATTCCAAATGTAACCTTTATGGGGAAATATGTTGGCAACATACCGGAGCTTTCCTTTCTTTACGTCTTGTTTGATCGGGTTCAGCGGTTCCTTTGTTGCAATCTGGAAATTGAAGCACGTATGAGGGTACTTGTATGTATCTATGTGTGAGTTCATGCTTTTGCTAGTGTTTTAAGAATATTTGATTTCTCTTATGTCACCAATACTCAACAACTCGCCTTCTGGCTATTGCTATGATAGCTAAATAACAGTGGCTTCAGGCTACTGCTATGCTAACTCCAGAGAAGGCTATTGGAGACTTTTCAGTCAAGCACTTAATTTCTTAAGTTACCTGCAGAGTACTTACTTAAGCATTTCAATCTCAGCCTTTGTCAAGTGTACTAATCAGATCTTATTTTTTTTAATGTGAGGTACTGTATCTATAGACTTCTTACCTCCATTTTAGCATTTGACCATCGAGGTACCTCCACAACCATGTTAAAGAGCACCTGAAAGTACAGTACACAGAATAAAGCGATATACTGTGTGTGTGCTGGGGTGAATGATTTGGGGGGTGGTAGAACTGATATGATATATTAGAATTTGACATTACCTCACTCTCATTCTTCTTGGGTTTTTTAGCTGGCACGTCATTGCCCTGTTGAAAAGAATACATTATAAGCTAAAAAGTCTTTATGCAGTATTAATCCAACAGAAACTAACTATCAACTATCAAATTGTTACCTGCTCTGTCTCCACTACAAGTGGAATGTCATGGAATGGTGAAATGTATTTTCCTTGGGATGTTTCTAAGAAAAAAACAAAAAATGGTTAGAAAATAAAACCTCCTCACGTATAATTGTGTCACAATGAATTCCCAGAAGACGTTTTTTTTGTACATAAAATAATTATAATACATACATAAATGGGGACTCAAGGTTACTTACAAGCTTCTCTCTGTCTTCTTTGGCAGAAAGCGTTTGCTCAGTTAACGCTGAGATAATTCAGACTGATACAGACATCGAGTTATCTCTATGACAAATGAACTAATTCCATCCACTCGGTTGAAAATCTCCAGAAAAAGCTCGTAAGTGGTCCTTAAGTTAAGATTTAATTTCACGGTGAGTTACAGGTGTAGTGTTTTACTGTCAGTTACAACTTGTATCATTAATTTGGAGGTTCATTAGATTGTACAAAAATGTGTTGAGTTATTGGTCATACTGGACATAATCTACAATACCAATGTTACTGAAGTTTTCTTTAATTTATATAAGGCTGTAGATCATACTACCCATATTAAAGAGAATATTGTGATATTTTATTAGGCTAATATTTTCTACAAGTGATGCATCATTATCCACCATTAGTTAGGTAAGACTAAATAATAATGAATTAAATGTATTAGTTTATTATGATTACATAAAAGTGATCAAATCCGTATCACAACTTAATGAGTTTAACTTCTCCTGATATGTGTGACTGAATTTCACTGCTGTTCATAAGAAAATACCATTTTATAATTTCATAGGAGGTCCACGTGACCGCCCAACAGGAAGTAACACCACGCGAGGATATACAAGGAAATGTGCTCGTTGCTTTCTGCTTATGATGTATTTCAGCTTAATGGAGACGGGGGGGCTAACATAGGCGGGGGGTTTGACTCGAAAGCTAAACGTTAAGAGTGCCACATGCCAAGAAAACCCTCGCACCTTGCAACTCAAAGGTCAAACGTTTACCTTGACCGACAGTGTGGTCACCAGACCCCGGTACCAGACCCTGGTACCAGACCCCGGTACCAGACTGCTGTACTGAGAGACGCAGATGGACACGCATGGTTTCTGCCACGGTGCCGATGATAAACTTACTAAAATAAATCCGGTAGTCGGGAGAATGGGGGTGTCCTCTCTGCTCCGTTTGATAGTGCATCGTTTTTCTCAAGTAATACAGATGAGGCGTCGCTGCTGCTGCTGCTTGTGTGACGAGTTTGTTTCGAGAAGCGGAAAATGAGCCGAAAACTGTCACCAGGCAGCCGAGCGAGCAGCGCTGCAGCAGCGGGCTCATTATACACACTGCTTCTCCTCTCGGTCCCTGCTTCCCGTTTCCCACCTCCCCCACATCCGGACCCGTGAGCGAAACCCGCCGGACTGGAGATAAACGTTCCGGTCAGGGTTTTTCAAAATAAAAGCATTCACAGAGGCGACAAAATGGGGGGGGTCCTTTGCTACGCTGTTTTCTATTTAATTTTTTTTTTTTTAAAAAAGACTGCGTGACCGACAAATATGGCTGCAAACAAGTTTGAATATAATAATTATGTATTAGTCATAAAAAAAAAATAAATAGTGACATGGTGAAACATAATCTGAATGAGTGTAAAATCCGGGAAAATCTCTGGAAAATATGATTTGAATAACGATCCACTACATTTTGCTCCTTTTAGTTTAAATGAAAAGTCGGAGAGAAAGCCATTGGGTCAAAAAGCAAACGGACAAAAGGTTGTGTCCTCTTGGTAGCATCGAGATGGTTAGAAAATGCAATGTGCCAGTATCATATGTGCAAACTTTTCATTTTTGTTCAAGTGTGACGGTATAAAAACAAAAGCTCCTGGGGTAAATTAAAAAAAGAGAGGGTTATAAATGTCCATAAAATCATATAATAATATAATAAAACAGGCTTACAACTAAAATCAGGGGAGTCACCAAAACGTATATCACATATGCTATTAACCAATATTATGATCTATAATTTGAGCATTATTGTAACAGATTTTGGTAAGTGTCACTGGGCCACATAGCTGCCTGTTTGTTATCATTGCACTTTTATTTTGATGATAAAATCGTTGCAACGGGAAGTGAACTCTTTCTTCCATATTTACTTCACAGTTCTTCCATTGCATGCTTGTGGTCCGTGTAGTAGCTTCATTTTACTGCCACCTGGCCTATCAGTCCGCCCAAAACACACAACACACAAACACAGGACATTTGCTGGATAGGTCACATTATTAATATCTTGGCAAAATAGTGTCTTTGTCCAAGGAATGGCAACATAGATGTCTCTGACCAATAAGAAAAACATAGTAGCCTATTTAATTGATTATGCATGGCTGATATGGAGAGATGGATTAATTCTGAGCTAACAAAAACGCTATAATATAGTAAGAGCGGTATTAGTTACACAATCAGTAGAAGTTGAAGCAAGAAATTGATTGTCCATTTGTCATTAACGTCAGGCAAATGCACACCAGGATTTTACAGTATATTCTTCCATATTCAATGCATGTTATATTTAGAAAATGTTGTATTATCTCATCCTTTCTGAGCCAGTTTGGCCTCCATTTATTAGAACAAATATGTCCCTGTAGCTCTTGCTTTAATGGCCCCCTGCTTTTGTTTTTATAACCTGTAAGTTAATGCATTTTGTGGTGGTAGTATCCACAATACATCATGAGATCAAAGTCCATATGTATCCATTGTGCACTGAACAAACACCCAACCCAGTCACCTTGATATGTCTCTTTTACTGTTGTATAGGCTGGTCTCTGTTCAAACAAATTCCATATCGGCACCCATAAAAAGCTGGTTTATTAAAATCTTAAATTGCATGCTTGCCTTTGATGCACTTGCCAAAGGGCTTTTATTCTGCTCAGCACAAAATACTTTGGGTGCTTCAAGAAAAGCTGCTATAAACCTTTAAGTTGGTAGTGGCAAGGTCAAAATACTTTAACTTAACATGATGATGATGGGAGGTGAACTGGGAAGTTGTGAGAGATTCACATGGCTAAAATGTCCATTCGATCAGTACTGATTTGGAAAATCTGGATCAGGAGCCAAATCAGAAGTGTGTCTCTTCCTTCAGTTTCTGTCAGTGCCCATAAGCCAAGCACTCAACCGTGACTCTTGCAGTGATGGTGCCCAAGTGGCCAGCAGTAAAACTCTGTGGCTGTAAAAGACAGTTTCAGGCATGAGTGTGTTTTTATTTCCCCCTTTCTCTATTCACCCACCTGGCTGGCTCCTGCTGCTTCTTTCCTTGGCTACCTCGGAAAAAAGGCTCTCTTTGTTGTTCTCACCAAACAAGCCCTGAAAAATATGTTCTGTTAGCATTTGTTTCTTTTAGAAATTTATTTTCAGAAAATATTTTCACTGAAAGCATGCTGTGGGTGGTCAATCATTTTCAAAACAACAGCTTATAATAATGGCAATATTGTTTCTGCTTAACTAATATATTTTGTAGTGCATTATGTGGAATCTGTTGTAAAGTTTGTCATCTGAAAAACAGTGGACAAATGAGTCGACAATACACCTATTTTGACACTATTAATGATTTATGTCAATTATAAAGCCTCAATGTCAACTGTTCTCTGCTCTGGTTACAGCTTCTCCAATCTGAGGATTTGCTGCTCTGGGAAATTCTGATGGATATTTTTACTAATGTCTGATATTTTAAAGACCAAATTAATTTAGAAAATTGTCAGATTAATCATTAATAAGAATAAAAGTCCTAATGTGAAGCTTAATTTTTTGCTATGTGCAGTATAAGTTTAATGACTCTATTTCAGTGCCTAAAATCTTTTCTTAGGTGTGAATTCATCTGAAAGAGTCCACTTCTCGCCTTGAGCAGGTTTAAGAAAAACCACACCCTGAGTGACATGATGTCATATAAATATTGCCACACTGTCAACGCAGATAACATTGTTTACTCATTTGCATGTTTGTATAGAGCATGTGATCATTCAGTATAGTTTATTTTACCACGTCCACTTAGATACATAATCCTGCTAATGCTGACCTCTGTTATGTTTGAGCACAATTTGACTGGGTTTGTTTAGTAGAAAAGAGACAACAAATGAACATTTGAAAATTTAATTCTTGAGTTTTTCTTAAATACACACATAAATCATGATAATTACACAATGATAGATACTCAACAGAGATATACTGGTGAGCCTATGTGTGTCTAATGGAAGTTAAACAGGTGTGCTATGAGAACACTGCGCAGTGATCTGAAAACACAATGGGAACCGTCAGTACCTGCGGTTCAATGGGGAGGAAATGCATCCATTCATTGTTCTGGCAAGGAACACCATATCTGGTTGCTATGACCAGAAATCATTGTGGCAGCATGCGTGTTGATGAATTACCAGTTTAACCAGGTTTGACATTTCATAAGTGTTGATTTATAGGTTGTGAATAGAGTGAATACATTTTTGTAAGGTGAAACAAAAATATAGAAAATGCTCATTTGATTTTCATCCTTTGAAAAACACGACCTCTGTTGTTTCAAAACCACTAAAAACCAACAAGTTTACACAGCTTATTAGTCAGCATATCTATGAGTGCAGCTTGAACACTTCTGAAGCAATGTATACAGTGCATGTTGATTTTCTTTCATTAATTTCATTTATTTCAAAGAATTGTTGAATCAGTTTACTGTCTTTAACATTAGCTCAGCTGCTTACAGCTTTTCACTACAGTTAAGTGAGAGTACACTGTAGGCGTGACATGCTCAACTTATTTCTTGTGTTCAATGTTCAACTTAAATCCACTTAAATATATAAAACTCTCTGTTCTGTCAAGTGTGACTCTCAGCGCCCGGGTTATTTACATAAATACTTCCTTGTCAACCTTTTTGACATCGTTGGTGTCTCTGCAAGGTCTCACATGCATTTTATTTTGACATTTTAGTAAGAGCAAAAAGAAGCTGGGGGTCATTTTCGTCAAACCTTTGAGTTAAAGTGAGAGAAAGTGATGCATTTCTTTCCCTGGATGAACATAAAGGTCTAAAAGAGAGAAGCATAGCAGCAGTGGAGAGGTGTGGCCACATATCTCTCATGACAGGTAGACATGGGGAGGAGCTAGACTACCTGTGCAGAGCTGGGAGTCTGTGCACAGTGGACATTACACCTGTTGCACTTCCCAAGCTCTCTCTCTCTGTTTCTCTCTCTCTCTCTCTCTCTCTCTCTCTCTCTCTGTTTCTCTGTGTTTCTCTCTCCCTCTTCCTGTCCCTCTGTTTTCCCCTACTTTTCTCCTCGACTGGTCTCAAAGCACCAAGGGAGCTGACGGCCTCATCATGGATCCTAAGGAGGCCAGCGGAAGTGAGAAGGAAAAAGAGAAGGATAAAGTGATAAAGAGGAGGAACCGGCCTGTGTTCCTGCGTTACCTGGAAAGGAGGAAGACGGACACTATTGTGGCTGATGACACAGCCAAAGGTGACATCAACCTGGGGACGCTGGTGAGGAGGACTCAGTCTGACAAGACGGAGTACAGCGCTAAACTTAAAGGTACAGCAGCTAATGACCTCCCCGGGGGTCAAAACTATGGCAACAATCTATACACACGTGAGCCCACACTCAGTCTGAAAAGTCTCTCAACTCTTTACATTGCAAAATTGTTGACAACACACTGGCAAGGGGAACATTTAGACAAATATCTCTACTAAAGATGGACTGTAAGAGCAGCATGTAGGACTTGAAGGCAAACATTCAACACACACACACACACACACACACACACACACACACACACACACACACACACACACACACACACACACAACATATAGACTACGCACTGGTCTATAGCTCTGGATACCAGGCACCTGTTGTGTTACTATGTGTTCAGCAGGAGATACTCCCAAAGGGATGAAGCCACATATGCAAACTGTGCTCCAAACTCAGGGACTCACAGAGGAGTGGCTTTAGAAGTGTTCCAGACCAGCTGGTAAACAAGACCTGCACCAGTGAAGTGTAAAGAAGGATTTGCAGATCAGTTTTCATCAACAAATTTAGTGAAACAAAGTTTTACGAGATGTCAGATACTTACAGTTTGGTTCACAATGAATATAATATTTTTATTTGCATTGTTTGACCTAGAAAATGTGAGAACTAGTTGGAAAGGAGAAGGAGTTTTGATAAAAACAACAAATCGAGCTGTAAGTTGCCTCATCACAAATGCTGACATAAGTCTTTTCACAGACACACACACACACATATTCACTTTTCAGGAAAAAAAACTGGCTTCACCTGTCCATTGAGTGCAGTCAGTGACTGGGAATGCTGCATGTCAGGCAAAATGACTGACATCATTGTGTCAGCAGGGGGTTACTATTAAAGATTAGCCAAAGTATGTAGGTTTTCCT